GAAGGGAGTGACAGCCAGGGCAAGGTGGAATTGAGAGATGGAGTGACTCATGTAAGGAATAGCAAATAGGCCAGTATGGCTGGTCCATAGAGTGGATGGAGAGGAATAATGTGTCATAGGCTAGAAGGGTAGGTAGGGGCCAGACTGTGAGAGGCTTTAAATGACTAACAGAGGGTTTTATAATTGATCTTAGAGGCAATAGGGAGCTACTGGAGTTTATGGAGTAGAGGAATTATAACAACATGTTGTTCATTTCAGATGTATCCAGCTCTTCATGTCCCTGTTTGGGGTTTTCTTGGCAAAGATACTGGAGTGGTTTTCCATTTCCTTCTCCAGCTCATTTTACCAATGAGGAAACTGAGGCAAAGAGGGTTAAGTGACTTGCCCAGGGTCATACAGCTAGTAAGTGTCTGAGGCCAAATTTGAACTCAGGTCTTCCTGACTCCAGGCCCAACGCTGTGTCCATTGAGCCACCTAACTTCCCCCTACATGGTCAGATATTCGGTCGCTGTCTGGAGGATTGATTGAAATAGGGAGAGACTTGAGGCAGTGACAAATTAGGGTATTATTACAATATCCTGGTGAGAGAGGTGCTGAGGACTTAAACTAGGGTATTGGCCATGTAAATGAAGAGAAGGGGAGTTTGCGGGAGGTAGAAACAAGATTGGGTAACTGGATCTGTGGGATGAGTGAGAGTGATCAGTAAATGATAGCGCTGGGGTCATGAGCATGGGTGAGTGGAAAGATGGTGTCTCCACCCTACAGAAATAGGGGGGCTTGGAAAGGGAATAGTTTTGGGGATTGGGACAGCTGTAAGGTGCCATAGTACACAGACCTCAGGGCCTGGTGTCAGGAAGATCTGAGTTCAAATCCAGCCTTAGACACTTACTAGCTGTGTGACCCTGGGCAAATCACTTAATTTGCCTCAGTTTCTGGGGATAATAATAGCACCTATCTCCCAAGGTTATTGTGAGGATCACATGAGATAATAATTGTAAAATGCTTAGCACATAGTAAGTGCTATAAAATTTTAGCGATGATGATGATACAGATACATTTCACCTTGGACATGCTATGTTCAAAATGTTCAACTGGTAGCTGGAGATTCCAGTCTACCGCTTAGGGATTGGGTCAGCCCCTGTGGCAGATGCAATTGCTGCCTCCCGGTCAGTCAGTAAATCCATATTAAGCATTTGTGAGCCAGGGACTGTGCTAAGCGTTGAGGATACAAAGAAAGGCAAATGGCATCCATCATTCTCAAGGAACTCACAGTCTAATGAGAGCCCACAATCTCATTGGAGAGATAAAACATGTACCATTAAATTATGAGACCAGGCAGTCTCTGCTTAGGCATGAAATGAAGGCAATAAAAAGTACTAGAGAAATACAGAGATTGGCCTTGAGTGGTCAGAGTTGGCTCACTGAAGATGGCATCTAACATGGGTCTTGAGGGATGACTAAAATTTAGATAATTCCTCCATTAAATTCAGAAAGCCAACCTATTGAGCTAATGAAATTGTCTAGTCCTTAAGAGTCAGCGTGATACCCTGGAAAGATCACTCAATGGTTGGAGCATCAAAGGAAGTGAATATGAGTCCCAGCCCCCACATTTATGAGCTGTGTGACCCTGCACCAATCACTTGGGCCCCAGTTTCCTGATCTGTAAAATAAGGATAATAACACTCTGACTAAATCACTGTGTAAACTTTAAAGACCTCCATAAACATGAGTCATCTTTATTGAGGACAAGGACTGTATCTCATTCTTTTTGTTTTGTTTTTAATATCGTACATCATTGTTGTTCAATAAATACTTGCTGAATTAACAAATGAATGAGGCAGGAAATTCCTGAGGCCATTTGAGCTTCTTCTGTGATGTAGGAACAGCTCCAAACCTGTGGCATTGAGGGTTTCCTCACTTCCGGCTTTTCTGGGTGCCTTTGGTTGTATTAAATCTTCAGCTTCCAAGTAGAAAAAGGGGGAAAAATAAGAATCATTTGAAAGTCATTTCCAGAGTTCCTGGATTGAAATACAACATCTGACAATTTAAGTGTAACATATGGATTAAATTTTCCTGGAATTACCCATGGATTTTCAATTAAAGGAACTGGAGGGGCTCCCTGCAGACACAGCCCATGCAGAAGGTGGCTGGAGCAGAGCTAGGAAGACCAATCTGGACCTACATGAGAGATTGGGGGGAGGGGTGCCCTCCCATAATGCACTGGCCATCCTCCATATTTCCTGCATCTCATATAAGTATATCTCACTTTGGTGCCTCGATTTCCACTTTCCAAAGTCAGATCACTTTCATCATCTTCTCTGATTACCAAAGTCACTGTTCAGAAAGGCAGGACAAGTGTTTTTAGTACTATTTTACAGAGGAGGAAATTGATATCTCGAAAAGTTTAGTGACTTCTCCAGAGTTACCCAAAGCAGGGTAAAAGCAAGGACTCCAGGTTCTGCTGCCCTGGCCCCTTATCTTCACTCACAAGGCCACTAGCCTGTTTTAGAACCTCTTTACCTCTCACCTGGAGTGCTGCAAAACTTCCTAATTCGATTCTTAGCTTCCAAATCCATTCTTCATACAGTTGCCGAAATAATCTTCCTGAAACACATCTGATCATGGCACTCCTGTGCTCAAGGAGCTCCAATGGCTCCCTATTGCCTTTTGGATAAAATGCAGACTCCTCAGCTTAGCATTTAAAGTTCCCCACAACTTGACTCCAGTCTACCTTTGCAGGCTTGTTCCTTCATGCCCAGTATTTAGGGATGTCTTGGGGATGGCCCAGTGACTGTCTTTGAGTAGCGGAAGGGCGGGCTTAAGGAAGTGGGATTTGGCTTGTTCTGCTTGGGCCCAGGAGGCAGAAGCAATGGGTAGAAAGTCACGGAGAAGACGATTTCAGCTGGTTAGAAGGAAATCTTTTGGCCAATGAGAGCCGGTCTGAAGTGAAAGAGGCTATCTCAATGGTAGTGACTCCGCCATCAGTGGAGGCCTTTGGGTGGATGCTGCATCATCCCTTGTTAGGGGTGTTCTAGAAGGGGCTACTGTTCAAGGATGGGTTGGACTCGATACTTTCTTATGTCCTTCCCAACTCTGAGATTCAGTGATCCTGTGAAAATGGACTTGAGATGGACCTTGAAGGATGGGTAGGATTTGAATAAGGAAAGTAGATCAGGAAGGGCGCATAAGTAGAAGACGGCAGGAGATGAGTCTAGAAAAATGGATTTAGACCAGATTGCAGAGGACCTTGAATGCCAGACTAATGAGTCTGACATTTATCCACTAGGGAACATTGAAGGTGTTTGAGCAGGGGTGTGGCATAATGTTGATGTTTTAGGAATATTAATCTGGCAGTGGTGTATAGAATGGGTTGGAAGAAAGAGAGGAGGATATTGTCATGATCCAATGTTAAGGTCATGGAGCCTGAATTAGGCTGATGACAATAGGCCTGGAAAAGGAGAGTTAGATTAATGGAAGAACTGAGGGGACTTGGCGAGTCACTGGATGCAGAGAGCCAAGGAGAGAGAGCTGACTGGGAGGTTTTGAATCTGGGGTGATGGGTACAATGGGGGTGTCATTAATAGAAATGCAGAAGTTGGAAGGAGGAGGAGATTTTGTGGCAAGCTGCTGAGTTGAATTTTTGACAGGTTGAGTTAGAGGTGCCGGTGAATATCAAAAGCTATATGTCTGGCAGGCAAGTGGATGTTTGTGACTCAGTTTCCATTGCTGGAATATTATCCATCTCCTAGACCACAACCTATGGGTGGATATCCCCCAAGGCTCTGTCTTCAGCCATCTTCTCTTCCTTCTCTACATTTTCATGGGTCCAGTTGCCATGTCCATTCAGACATATATTTTCCCCTTGAACTCCAGCCCCATATCATTGCCTATATGCTGAACATCTCCATCGGGATGTTCAGCTGTTACTTCAAATTCAACATGTCCAAGATTGAGATCATCATCTTTTCCTCCACCAAGTCACCCCTCCCCCAGACTTCCCTCCTCCTAATGAAGGCACCTCTTTCTACATATGTAGTTTTGCAATCTTGAAGTCAACTTCAACTCTGCCTTCTCCCATGCTCCACATCACTATTCTGATGCCATATCTTATCTGTTTTGTCCCATGACCTCTCTCCTATCCCACAGGAGCATAGACTTAGAGTTGGGAGGCCCCTTCCATTGAGTCTAACCCCCTCACTTTACAGATGAAGAAATAAAGGCCTAGAAAAGTTGAGTGACTTGCTCAGGGTCACACCATATATTAGAGGTAATCTGGTAATCCAGTTTGGCTGCAATCATTTAACAAATACTCTAATCTATTTCTCCTGTCTGATTTCACATTATCCCCCTTTACACACACTATTTTCTAGTCAAACTGAACTGCTTAGTGTTTCCTGAATTTGGGGTGTCATCTCCCACCTCTGCATGTTTGCCCATGTGTCATCCCCTATCCTTGAAATGTATTCTCTCCTCATTTCTAGATCTTATCTGCTCTCGAGATTCCAGTGCCCCCTCCTACACAAAGCCTTCCTTGATTCCCTCTAGCTGGGCTCAACTTCCTCAAACAGTCTTAGAGGTCTTTGTTTTCTCCTTCACCCTCTTCACTCCCTACTTTGTATGAATCTCAGCTTTTTCACCGTGCACAATGTAGGCTCCTTGAGAAGGGAGGTTATTTAATTGTTTATCTTTATACCCCCCAATATCTATTGACTGGCACATAGTAGTAAGTATTGAAATTGAGGTTTATTTATGTACTTTCTTATATTTTAGTTGTTTTGTGTGTGTGGAAATGTAAATTCTCTGAGGGCAAGGAACTGTCTTATTTGTCTCTCCCCTTTTTCCTTTAGCACAGTTTAGTGCACGCTGTGGACCTGGGATCTACATGAGCTCCCTCCAGCTGTTCTGTTCTCTGCCTTGGTTCCCTTTGGTTCATCCCAGAGCCAACTTTTTCCAAGCCCAAGAAAGACCTTCATGGCCCTCCTTCTCCTTCTCTCTTTCAGCACAGCCAGGACTGCCCTCGGATCCTGCCTATGTTGCTAGCCCCAGTGCCCACAGGAGGCCTGCAGAACATCCATGTCTCACTGGCCAACACTGTCTTCTTCTCCCAGGTAAGTGGCACCATGGAGGGTAGAGAGAGGGGCTCTTAGGGTTGCTGCTGCGCATGGTTATGAGGAGAGGCCCCAGAAATGGTAGAATGATCTGGAGATCTCTGTGACCCAAGGCCATCGGGACCTCCTGGACCCTGGGAAACTGACCGCTTGACCCCAACACAGACTGAGTCCTTGGTGTTGGCTGTTGACCAAGCCCCAACACCAGTCATAGCTTGTGCCTCTGGTTCTAGCCAAAGCCTGACCCCTGACCCTAACCACAGGCTCATCCTTGACTCTGGCCACAGACCAACTCCCTTACCCTGTCACAGACTAAGCCCCTGATTTCTATAGACTGAACCCTGACTCCAAGCACCAACCCTGACCACAGACTTGCCCTTGACCCTGGACACAGACTGAGCCTCTGATTCCAGCCATTGATTGAGCCCTGACTATTGTCCTGGGAGAGTAGGGAGAAGTGAGACCTGGGTTGGCTCCCCATATGGCCCAGTCTACCTACTTCCAGGTAAAATTAGGGTGTTGGCCATAAGGGGCAGCTTTGGAAAGTAAGAGGCATAGCAAAGGGATGTTGGTGACTGATTGGACCTGGGGCTCTCTGTTTGGGGACTTTCCCTTCTTTCTCTTGGAAAGAATGGGGAAGAGAGAGGAGAAAGAAGGTGCAGTGGAGGAGCCAACCCCAGACTCCACCAGTTTTCTTGATTAGGGTGGAAGGGCACTCATGAGTTAATTTTGGGGAGGGGTTGGTTCCAGCTGACAAAAGACCCTATTGGCATCAGAGGATTTACTGTCTTGGCTCCAATCCCAACCTTGCCTTTGGCTATCTCTGTGACCTTGGACAAATCACTTACCCTCTCTGGGCCTCAGTTTTCCTGTCTGCAAAATGAGAGTATTAAACCAGATGGTGCCTAAGATCCTTTTCAGCTCTAAATCTAAAAGTGCTCCATCCCTCCCACAGGCTTTCTCTCTGAATCAGTGCCCAGGGTTAGTAGCCCTGCAGCAGCAAAGCCCACATTCCACTCCCTCCCTCCCACTACGGTTCAAGGCCCTTGATGAGTCATCATTGGGGGGGGAGGGCTTATAGCAGTCTTAGAAGCAGAAACCTGAGAGATCTGAAAGTTGGGCAGGTACAGAAGAAAATGGCCTCAGCTGTTTGTTACTATTTCTTAAGAGGCATAGAAGGAAAAAATAGTCTGAACAACTTAGAACATCTCATCAGAACCACTAAGGAGTATTTGAAAATGGGCATCTTTTTTTTTTTTTTAAATTAAGAAGTTGTCTTGAAGATTGCCATTAACTAATGCACTAACCCTGCTCTTTGGTCTATGTCTTTATTCATTCATTTGTTTGTTTGTTTGGTAGTAGAAAGAACCCTGTATTTAGACTATGCCAATTAGCAACTGTGTGACCTGAAATAAGTCACATCCCCTCTAGGCTTCCGTTTCTTCATTTGTAAAGTGACAGGGTTGGAAATGCAGATCTTTCCATTTCCAAATCCTGTGATCCTATGTTTCCTCCCTAACCCAGCCCCACCATGCCCCAAGAGGTTGTGCCTCTGAGGGAGAGGCCTCTCTAGGGAGAAGGCGTTGTGCCTGAAAACATTCATAGGCAGCATGTTTTTCTTTGCGGCCACCCATCCCCACTGCAGATGGAGCAGAGGGCTCCGGGGAGCTTCTAGCAGGGACTGGGAAAAGCAGTCACACTGTGAAGGGAGATACCTCTCCCAAGAGGGCCCCAGGGATCCATCAGCAGGCACTTGCTGTCCAGCCTGTGAAGGTTGGGGAGCTGTAGTTGGGGTGAAGGGGAAGCATTACCTGAGCCCAGGCCTTAGTGGGGCAGGTCCAGGGCATCCAGCACAGGAGGCATTGACAGGTCTTGGAGCTGTGCCAGGCATTACCCCTCCTTGAAACTCCATTAGGAGCGCACCATCTGGCAGCCCCTTACCATAATTTAGCGCCTAGGATACGCTCTTCATACAAATGAAATGTTATCTATTATTATCAGGATTACACGATCTGGATCACACAATGGAGAGCTGGGAGGGTCCTTAGAGATCATTTACCCATTTACTCATTTTACAGGTGAAGAAACTGAGTCAGGAAGGTCCCATTTGAGCAATGTCACACAGATAATGAGTAACAAGACTAGGAATCAAAGCCCAGGTCTTTAACCCCCCAACTCCAATGTGCTTTTCTCTGAGCTCCATGGCAGCTTCTACCATCATCTAGGTGGGCCCAGTCATTTCTCCAAAGGTGTGGGAACATTCTATAGCTAAGAGCCCCCACATCATAGAATCCCTCCCATACTACAAAATGCTTTCATGTACATTATCTTGTAGACTTGTAGAAAATTAGGAACAGGAAGATGTGCTTTCCCTCTCAGACCTGCCAAGACCAGGAATGGGCTAGGGTTGAGGACCTGTGATTTCATCAGTGTGGAGATCTTCTGGTGTGGAAATGCCCTTCACAAAACCATCTATATTTTATGGTCATTGACGGTTGTCTGGGCCACTGAAAGGTTCAGTGACTTTGCTCACGGTCACATAGCTCATACATGTCAGTCAAGATTCAAACCCAAGTCTTGGCTCCAAAGCCAGCCCCTATGGCCACTGTAACATACTGCCTCTCAGACTCCCTACCCACATAGTAAGTGGGCCTGAGTTCCAGGAAGCATTAAGGCCGCTAATCACATTCATTTTTTTTTTTTCCTGCGACCTCATCCATACTTTTATTGTACAAGGCTACCTCCACTTCCTGGTGTCCGCTAACTTTGTGGCAGCTGGACAATTTCTACTGACGGAGGCAACATTATTCTCTAAAAAAATGGACATTTCTGAGAAGTAGTGGGCAAGAGATCATCTATAAACCCTTCCTTCTTCCCTGCCCTCCCCCAATTATTTATAGAAGAGAACTCTAGCCTCCAAGAGGAGAAGGTACTGTCCCAAGACCACAGCAGGTTAGTACTCTTTCCCATTTCATTTGATTCTCATGACAAGCCTCCAAAGGAAGATATTATCACTCCCAATTTGCAGATGGAGACACAAAAGCAGAATGAGGTTAATATCGACACCTGTCATTTATGTAGCAGTTTAAAGTTTAAAAAATCCTATATGTAAATGGTCTTATTTCATCCTTACAACAGTCTTTTGTAACAAAGTCTGCAGATACTCCCCTATATTCCAGATGAGGAAAGTTGAGACTGAGAGAGTTCAAGAGACTTGCTCAGGGTCCCATAGCTAGTAAATGTCAGAGACAGGATTCAAATCAGGCCTTGCTCATTTCACATCTAGCTCTGTCCACTATAACAAATCACGTGAACTGGTTTGCCTAAGGTCATACAATGAATGATGTCTTCAAATGGAACCCAGGCATCTCCAAAGTCTGTTGTTATTATTCAGTCAGGTCTGATTTCTTTGTGACCCCGTTTGGGGTTTTCTTGCCAAAGATACTAGAGTGTTTCATCATTTCCTTCCCCAGCTCATTTTACAGATGAGAAAACTGAGGCAAAGAGGATTCAATGACTTTCCCAGGGTCACACAGCTAGTAAGTGTCTCAGGCCACATTTGAACTCAGGAAGATGAGTCTTCCTGACTCCAGACCCCGCACTATCTACTGCAACACCTAGCTGCCAGTTCCCAGTACCACACTTATTCTCTTTCATGTGTTAGTGGTACCAGTCGCAGATTTGGAAGCCCGCCATATTGTGCACATGATTGCAGGCTCCGTGTTTTGTGATGGAGCTATTTGGCTGACTGTGAGAAAACACTATAAAGGATTAGCTGTGGGCATTGAAATGAGAGCCACGTTTTTATATGGGGCCTCTGGGAAAGCCGTTGTCTCCTTATAACGAGGGTTAGGTCATCCATCACAGTGTGAGGTGCTACCAAATTATTAAGTGCTGTCTGAGGCTGATGTTTCCAATGGCAGGAGCCACAGTTTTGAGTGTGAAGCCAACAAGAACCAGTTAATTTTGCTGTGTTCCATAGTCACAGAATGACCCCGGTCTTGGTCAAACACTGACCCTAGCTTCAGCTATTGGTAGACATCTTAACCTTGGCCAAAGGTTGGTCTACTACCTTGGGCCAAAGGTTAACCTTAATATTGTACTCAGCCCTATCTCAGTCACGACCAATGATTGATCCCAAGTCCAACCACAAATTAGTGGCCACTAACTAGGTCGTGCAGAGCGTGTTGGGCCTGGAGACTGGAATACCCAAGTTCAAGTCCTTTCCAGCTATATGACCCTGGGTAAGTCACTCAGTTTCCTCATCTGTAAAATGAGCTGGAGAAGGAACAACAACAATAAACCTGTCAAGACTGAACCTGAACCCTGACCTTAAAGTAAGATTCAGACTCAACTTTGAAACCAAAAGTTTATAGGAAAATGTTTCTCCAATTAATAGAATAAATAATATTCAATAAACTAACCCTTAACCCCAAGATCTGAACCCAAATCACAGAATCATGGACCCTAAGAACTTGTAAGGCATTCATCAGGCGACTAGCCCAATCTGGAGCTAAACAAGGATCCCTTCAACAAGAAAATCCTTCATGAGTGGCCTTTGCCTGAAGACTTATAGTGAAGGGAAATTTGCTAACACCAGTGACACTGGGATGGTTCTAATTTGTAGAAAGTTTTTCCTTCCATGTCATACTCTGCATCTTTAAAACTTGCAGCCACCGTGCCGTATTCTCTCTGGGACCAAGCAGAGCAAACCTAATTTCTTTTCTGCTTGACATTCCTTTAGATACTTGAAGACTATTAAATCCTGTCTCTTCCTTCAGGCTAAACATCCCCCAGCTCCTTTAATATTTAACACCAGTTTCAATATCCTCACCCAAAGAGAAGGAAGATACTGTTACCGTATCTTAGAATGAAATCTTGGAGTTACATTCTACCTGTGATTCTATAAGGAGTCTGTGAGGAGCCTGAGAATCTTAACAGTTTTCTGGAGAGACTGTTAACTATGATGGCTCAAGAGAGGACAAAGAAAAAGAATCGAG